TAACCAGCGGCAAGAATCCCGCGCTTTTACTTAGAGTCACGTCCCTATCAGGGCTCATCGACCTTGCCTTGCTAACGAGATGTCATCCGAATTTTTTGCAACGCGGGCTACTAGCCTTAGCTGTAATCCAAAGAGTTCTGGCAAACAATCTACGCTAGTTAAAAAGGAAATCAAGTTTCTTCATGCAAACCTCTACGAGGTAGGTGTTGATAGTGACTACGGCTACGAGTTTTTGGATGGGACAGAGGAACGGAAGGAAGATCTCATTGAGCAATTCACAACATTGAATTCTACATGTTTTGTGCGCTCCACAACAGAGGTCAAGGAAAGGTCACGGATTTCATCCGAAAATGGTATTTTCAATCTTCTTTACTTTTTCTTTTGAGCATTTTAGGTTTGCAATTTTCGGGAAAACGAAAACGATTGCGCAAAACAGAGGACGAATACAGTCAAGGCAGGCCATGCCTAGGTTTTCATGTTTATATTACAAAACAACTTGGCCTTTCGCTGCCTTTTGTTTGTTAAAGGCGGAAATGTGCTAGTCATTTATGGAGCCCAGATACGACGTTCATATTTTCATGAATAAATGAAAGCGAAATATTATGTCGCAACAATTCAATAAAATCTAGCCATCAAGTAGCCAGGATTTTAATTTCGGTAATTATCCGAAGGCATCTACGGCATCCGTTCCACACTTGCGTTGACAGATTGTTGCACAACTTCCACCGGTGAGAAAATGAGTACGAAGGAATGCTAAATCATCGTCATAAAAGTCAACAATCATTCACGGTTGTCAAGATTTAGCGACTATTTAATAAAGCGTTTTTCGTAGTCTAAATATTATTACATTTTTCTTTAACCTCGACCCGAAAGGTTTTTAACAGTTTACACGGGTTTGGAAGAAAAGACAAGGCGCTGTGAAAAACATGCGCGTGTGGACCAGATCTGTTTTGTTTGCACTCTTTTTTCTTTTTTTTTTTTTGAAAAACAAAGAAAGCAGCCCAAAATTGTGAAAGCTTGAGTCTCCAGAATCTTTAATTTGCCAAAATAAAGTTCCAAGAATGACACGTGGGTAGAAACATAAAACAGTTGATGTGTGGGGAGTAAATTATTATACGAAGGAAAATAAAGATTTATAGTGTAAAAAATACATTTGAAATAGTGAAAAAGATATCGAGTTTTCAGGATTCATTACACATAAAATAAAACACAGGAGAGAATTTCCGAACATATTTGGAAAACACCGGGCTCTGGGGTCCACCAATGTGGGTTATAAGGTTGTAGCCGAATTTCTCTGCCAGAACGAGGACAATGAATGCATCGCGGAAGCCCTTAATATCATCAAGAGCTGGAATCCTACGTGGAAACCAAAGTATTTCATGGTAGATTACTCGATGGCGGAAATAAATGCTATCGAAAGCAAATTCCCAGATGTTGCGGTATACTTATGCGATTTTCACCGCGAGCAGGCGTGGTAGAGATGGGTCAAGGCCGGCAAAAATGGACTGACCATAAGGGAACAAAAGATGTTTCTAGAACTGATGCAAGCAATTGCTCGTGCTCGTTCGGAGAAGTCCTACAAGAAGGCCGTGGAAAGCCTGAGAAAGTCGACTTTGTACATGGGAATTCCAAAAGTACAAGAATACTGCGAGAAGGTGTGGTTGGACTGTTCCGATCGTTGGGCTCATGCATTTCGTGTTCAACAGGCCGTCAACATCGTGAATACCAACAATGGAATTGAAGCGTAGAATAAGTTGTTCAAATACAGCTATTTGCCTGGATCACTCGACAAATCAGTTTTTGGAATAGTGGTGATGATCGCGGAGTCGTTTATCCCTGATTCCTGCCAACACTACCTGGACAACAACCTTCAGCTGAGTGGTTCGTATCGAGAATTCAAGCGCGATATACCTGACTATCTTCACAACCGTCCTCCTCATTTTGTCAAACACTGCCTCAGGAGTAATTTTGGGGCTGCTGAGTTTGCCGAACATGACGTAAAATGTGTCAATTTAGAAAAGAGTGAATTTCTCGTCAAAAGCAGTTCGAACAGTACGAGGCTGTTTGCTGTCAAGCTGTCGGAGCCAAGCTGCAAATGTGAAAGCTGGCGTAAAACGCATTTCCCTACCCTTTTTGCTGTTTTCAACTTCTTTGACGAGTGGGGCTTTAACAGCTTACCGCATTCTTACAAAAATAGCGTCTTCATAACTCTGGACACCGTGCATTTTGATCAAGCCGATCCTGACGAAGAACCAACCTCGGAACCGAGTTCAAGGGACGAGGGAAATTACTATTATAGTCAAGTATGCGGTGCAGAAACAACAGTCCCCGCCATCGCCTCGCCGATGAAGATGATGCACCTGCTCAATCCAGTGGCACTTCTTCCCGGCCAAAAATCAACGACAAAGAGGAACCTTTAATAACTCAAAAGCTCAGAAAGCGCCTTCAGGAAAGAGTCGATGAATTGAGATCAGCAACATTCGTGGTCGATGATTCAGCTATCCTTGAGAATACTGTCACGACTGTGGAATCTCTGTTAAAGGATCTCCGTCAAAGTTCCTCTATTGAAAATGGCCTTCCTCTTCGATAGAGTCCTGCAAAAAAGAAGCTCAAAGTTACAGAGCTAGACTACCACTAGGTGAAACATAAGACACTTCCCAAACGCAGACGACACAGCAAGAGAAGGAAGGACAGGGGCGTGGTTGTAGACTTGACAAGGGATGAGGGCAATTCTAAAGACAGTGCTGTGGAATTAGAAGAGGTTGGTATAATTTGTTGTTTTCTCACAACGATTGAAAGAACTGTTTATGTCAACGTGTAAAATGTTTATCTTGTATGTGCCAATGTTTTATTTGCAGATTGACTCGATATGTGATGTGTCTCTTGATGACGATAATGAACTTGAATTGTGTAATGATGCGGATGACGACATGGATAATGATGTGCTAACTGACACAATTCACGAGAGTTCTGCTCGTATCTCACCAAAGTATAATTCTATCGAATTTAGTAATACAGAACAGTGATCATAACTCTTCGAATATTCTATCAATTAAGTAGGGAACGATTTATCAACCTTTTAGACTATTCTTTTGATCTATTGTTGTGGTTTATATACAGGCCTTCTCAGCCAGGAGAGTCAGAAGTACAGTTGTGTGACGCAGAGACGATAGTTAAGACCTTGCAAGTCAACACTGGTATACGCGAATATGGAGGAAAATTGCTTAACTTTTTAAGCAGCGAAGTGTAACTTGGTAACATTTCGGCTTTACAACACGATTGTTTTCTGCAACTACAAATGATTTGTCTCTATATGAATTACTTTAATACCTTAATTTGTTTCACCGCTGGCTACTTGTATTTTGGTCTTTTTTCTTTCTTTACTTGGGGAGTTACTAGCAAGTAAAGGGGAGTTACTACATCACGGGCGACGAGCGGGGATAGAAAAAACGACCCAAATATGAGCGGTCAGCAATGAAACAGCTTTTATACTTCATATAGAGACATATAATTTGTTGTTCCAGAGACAATCGTGTTGTAAAGCCGAAATGTTAACAGTTTACTTCACAGTCTAAGAAATTTTTCAAAAGTGTTGATTGAACTCATATCTTTTACTGCTTTAATAAACAATGGAGGCTTCGGAGAGGGAGTCAGTGGCATTTGGAAAGGCACCAAGAATAATTATATATATGGTTTGTAGCTAGCTGCGTGACGTGCGTGACGAAAAAAAATTATCATGATTTCCGGTTGTCAAAAATGTCAATTAAATTTGGCAGGAACTTGGTTTTCGCACTGTAGTTTGCTTTTCCTGGAAGATTTTGCCATGGATGAAGACCAAAAGCCAACAATGTTAAGAGATTTAGAGATCGACTTTTTGAAAGAACATCTCAATGGCTTTTCTGTTGAAGGCAATTATTGTTTGGATATTTCGAGGGAAAGATAGATTTTCACGAGCGTCAATGGTGCAGAATCGTAACTTGATGGAGCCAACAGTGGACAACATCCCAGAATTCAAACTTTGTGATTTTTTTCTCGGCTTAAACGCTAAGTCAGTTGTTCAATTGAATAGGAAGAAAAACATTTCGAACGGAAAACAGCATTATTTGCGCGTGTGGATCTTTTGAGAAAAGGTCTCCTAAGCGAGTGGTCTTGATTGTAAATATTTAAGGAATGGTAAATACATTAGCCTTAACATGGCTGTTTCTCGAAGCTCAGTGTTTTCCTACTTGCCTTTTTTCCACGTGAATTGGGGGCGATTGAATAGATATAATATGCAGTAAAAGAACTTCAGCTGATAGAAATTTTAAATTTCTCATCTTAGGCTGTGGATACAAAATTCAAGTGAAAAGGAAGCCAACTGTGATTAATGCTTTGAACAAGTCAAGATACGTTTTTTTCGTCACACAACAAGTTACATAACGTGAATATCATTCTTCTTGATGCCTTTCCCGGTGTCACCAATGCCTTTCCCGATGCCTCCGTTGGTTAATAGAGCATTAAAAGTATTGTTCCAGTTAAAGCTTGAGAAAAATTGCTTAACTTTTTAAGTAGCGAAGTGTAACTTGGTAACATTTCGGCTTTACAACACGATTGTTTTCTGCAACTACAAAACGTACATTTAATTCTTCTTGGTACCTTTCGGATGCCACCGATGCCTTCATTGTTTATTAAAGCAGTAAAAGATGTATGTACAATCAACACTTTTGAATTGCTTAACATTTTATTTAGCGAAGTAAACTGTTTACACTTCGGCTTTACAACACGATTGTTTCCTGATACTACAAATGATCTGTATATATATGAAGTATGAAAGTTGTTTCAACGCTGACCACTCGTATTTGGGTCCCCGCTCGTCCACCGTGATGTCGGCTTAGTTAAAAATCACACCCTCTTTTTAACCTTTCCACGTTCGTAGCTCCTGACGTGGAAACTATCATCCTAAACTTCTCTGTTACGTTCAAACTCTCATGGTGGTCAGCACAGTCCACATTCTGGTGAATATGACGAGTTCACTGTCTCAGTTTGAGCTAGCCAAATCTTTTCAAAATGGCGGAATTAACAGAATGCATGAAGGATTCCCTCTGCCTAGTGACGTAAACGCGAAGAAGATGAGCAATATATTTAGCACCTTCAAAACTGAAATCCTTGAATTCCAAGTCTCAGTAAAGGAAACAATAGTAGCTTTGGGCGAAAATGAACAAGAATTCGAGAACGTCTCAAGCGAGGTAAGATTTTATGTCGCTTTCAAGCTCCATGATGTTGATGAGAATTGGTAAATTAAATATTGTTAAACTGGTGCAGATCATACAACCTTGATTGTAGTCGTTTTTTTAATGTTTTTTATGTATTTTGATATTACTTCAAAGCTACTTGATTTATACCTTGATCAAATACTTTCTTTAATTAACTCTGGATAATTCATAATTTTCATGGATTGTGCATTCAGATATATTTTACAGTAATATTACATCATGTAGTTGTGTTCTTTACCTGTTTATCTGTAATTTGGTATGTTCTGTAGATTCATGCCAGTGTTTTTTGTTTCCCTGATCATTTCTCCCAGTTTACACAAGACATATTGTCAAGACACCAATTTTTGCATTTATTCATGGTCCATCTCGCTCTGTGCACACTCTATGTACCTGCACTTTCACTATCAATTTTTTAATGCAATTAATTCTTATTAAGTCAGAACTGATTATTGCATTTCTCTCACACAGGTGGAAGACTATGTGACTCGGGTCTCAAGAATTTTAGAGGTACTATCAAGGGATCAGATTAAGGTGGCATTCATTGGGCAAACCAGCAATGGAAAGAGCACCACATTAAACGCCATATTACAAAGTGACCTCTTACCAATGGGAATGGGCTGTACTACAAACTGTTTTCTCAGTGTACATTGTTCAGATTCACAAGAGCCAGATATCTTGGTTCCAGACGGTGATGGCAAAAAGAATATGGTATGTCTTTTTAACAAGCATTATAACTTTCTTATTTGTAATAATTATATGTACGATAATTTCCATCCATTTACCCCAGCAGCAGATTACCCGCACTGGTCAATTTTTGCAATAGCTAACCTACACCCAAAAACAAAAGAAAATTGTCAACTCACACAAAGTTCCTCTATTGTTTTTGTTGACATGATATCATTTAGCATGCAATGGATAAATTTCCACACTTCTTGTTTTTGATGTTTCTTTGAGATTGTAAAATATATTGTTTATATGGTTTTAGCAATTACTTTCGGTTTGAAATTTAATTTGGAAAATATCACTGGTACCTAAATTATCTTAAAGCCGAAAAATACTTATGAAATAAATTAAATAATACTCCAATTAATATATGTGCAATGTAAGTTAACCCTTTAACCCTAGAAGTGATTAACATGTAACTTCTCCCTATGGTATCCATACATTATCCAGCAAACAGGTGGTGAGATTACTCAACTTTATTAGGTTTAAGATATTATCTTGATTGAACACCAAATTCTAGTAACCAATTTACAATGAAATTTGCAGCAACCAGAGAGAGAATTAATAATCAGATCTTGGGTGTCAAAGGGTTAATGAGTTGTTAATAATCATCATGATAATTACCTATTTTTCTGCTTGTTATGGAAACAGCCATTAGATGAACTTACCTGTACCTTGTATAAAGGAAAGCTTGATCCTGGCAGTCGTGTTGAAGTGCGTTGGCCAAAGTCTAGGTTTGATTTTGTTTTGTAATCATTATATCATTCACATGTACTCCATTATGGAATTGCGCCCATTGAAAAACATTGTACGGGAAAATGCAAATAAGCTAGAAAAGAGAAAGAGAGCATGGGTAACTTCATGCAGGCCTGTCAATTTGACTGCCAATCTTGTAATCCCCCGTGTATGCCATGTTCACAAGTATTGTTTCTTGCTCAGACAAACGAAACATAGTGCTATTCATCGAAGAAGACATATAATTATTAGCATTATCTTGATTGGTCTATATTGTTTAAAAATCGGTCAGATGTAAAATTAAATTACCTTTTAAATGTTGGGTTTCAATTTGTGTTAAGACTGAAATGCAGCAGATTTATGAGGTTCTTTTGCAACCTCATTCCCAGGTCATTGAGTCTGCAAAGCATCATGGGTACCCAATTTTTCCCAGGCAACACTTTTCAATGGGCACAATGTTAGTAAAAGTAGAATTTAGTGCCCTTTGTTGTAGATGAATTGTTCTTGTCCAGGTTTTTTTCCAAAGAGATTAAGTTTGTCAACATTTTTTGGCTTCAAATTAATTCTGTTATTATGTGTTAGACTTATTATAAAATATCTGATTGGTCAAGAGCATTCAATCAATATACAAAAGCAGAGGAAGTTGACAAGGTAACCCAATATCTGCAGCAGACATTGCATTTGTCATTTGGAGTTCAAAGTCTGCCTAGTTTCCAAGCCCTTACTCCATGAAGTGTTCTCAAACTTTTGCAAACCTAGAGAGAGGTGTCTTCTTTTCCAGATTGTTTTTAACAGATGTGTAATTAAAACAATTACTAAATTCAGTTTTTACATGATATCATGAATTATTAAGCATGGTGTCTTTGTAGTCTGTCTCACCCTTTGGTTTTGGCAGATGACTTAGAACCCAGTATTTATAATTCAAGTTATCATGCTCAACTTCCTTCAGTAATTGTTTAATATACATACAGTAAAGTAAAAAGCTGTGTCATTGGTTTTTCAATGAGTGTCTTGTAAACAAAGGAAATATACTTGTAGTGTTGAAAAGCTCTTGGATAGGCTGCCTCTTGTGTCTTTAAAAGATACAAAAACTTTCCAAACACAGTTCACGTGTTCTAGATAATGCTTTCACATTAGATTAGGGGGTTTGTATCATTACAAGAGAGTTTTACCTGTACATTATTATCACTTTTGATGGTTCCATTTTTGTAAAAATGTATTTTTTTTTAACCTCAGTTGTAATATTTTATCAGAGGATGTTGTTTTGGTGGATAGGTAAGCAAAATAAATGTGATGAAAGGCACTGTATAATTAAACTTTTGAGCCCCAAGAATTAAAATTCTCCTTACAATTTCACCTCTGAATAACACATTAAGATCTCAAGAATAAAAGAAATGATCACCAGCTATGGACGCTCTTGACTGTCAGGCAAATTGTCTTTGTCTACTCCTAAGGGAATGTATAGGGATCAATACAGAGAATATGCATACTAATGTTAGAGTGTGAAGGTTAAAGAAGAACAAAGAGACAAAAGAACAAGAAAACAATGAAAACAATAGGTTCATGAGGTATTGCTCTATTGTGACATGTTCTGTGTCTTCTACACCAAGAAGAAGCCTAAAAATGCTATATAAATAGTCACAGACAATTGTTATTTTAGTCCTGGTATAGATGTGAGCCCTTATCTTGATATGTGGATAGATGAGTACTGCTTGGATGCTGATGTGTTTGTCCTGGTTGCTAATGCTGAGTCAACACTTGCGTTTGCGGTATGTTCATGACCATTCATGTACTATGTGTAAATTTAAGATACATCACATACAAACTTTAAATTTGATTGAAATTTTTTTAAATTTCAGTTGCTTTAAAATGTGACTTATTACAGGAGAAATTCATCCAATCAGTGTGGTAGCATTCACATATTAAACCTTCCCATACTTGTGGGGTAGTTTCTCATTTTGTACCCTTGTCATTTGCAGGAGAAAAACTTTTTTGACAAAAGGAATCAGCATCTTTCAAGACCATACATCTTCATTCTATATAACAAATGGGACGTATGTGCATCAGAACCTGATAAGATGGAGCTGGTAAGTGAGCACTTATTTGACCTTGATACCCATTTAAATTTGAAATCGAAAGATATCAAAAGTGAAAACAAAATACAACTTTGAGTTGTTTTTCATCTCTGATGCTCTCTTCATAGGAAATTGTTGCTTGAAAAAAAAGTACTGATAGATTCATAGTAGGGGGGTAGGGGGTGGGGGTGCTTAGATAGAGGAGAAGAATTAATGTATAATGATGGGTGGGATAACAAACCATTTATCCCATTTCCCTCTCCCCCCTCCAGACAACAACAACCCCTCCCCCCCTCCCCCACTATTTAGATGATGGTAATAAAGTGTGATTTTTAAAATTTTTTTTACCTGTTTCCTTAAGGTGAAAAATCAACATCTCAGTAGGAGTACTAATTTCCTTGTTGATGAGCTAAAGTGTGTAGACAAAGAACTGGCTAAAGACAGAGTGTTTTTTGTCTCAGCTAAAGAGGTAAGCTGCTGGATATTTTATATCAGGGTTTATAAGGATCAATTGCAAATAACTCGGAACAAGTCTTCAAGTTTTGTTACTGCTATGCAAAGAGACATTTGATACAGGACAAACCTCTCAGTTGCTTTATTTATTTTCCCACTTTCTTTTCCTGTTTCTGTTTTACTCAGACCTTAATGAGCAGAATGCAGGAACACCAAGGAATGCCTCAAGGAGGTATGTGGCTGATTAAAATGTACATTCTCTTGAAAAAGCACAAACACAAATGGTTAAGTAAGATTTTTGTATTAAATCAAGTAACTAGCATTACCATGATGTTTTTCAGCTGTTGCCATTGACGATGAAGGATTTCTTGCTCGACAGATGCAGTTTAAGAACTTTGAGCGCAAATTTGAGGTATTTTTCAGATAGCCAGTTGTCTGTTGGCAGATTACCCATGAACCAAAAAGGGGCAAAAATATTCCAATGATTGCAGTGTGGAATTTAATGGCATTGTTATTCAGGGAGTGCAAAATTGCTAATGGTAACTTCACACATAGCTATGCAGGGGGTTTTCCATTAAAGCTAGTTACACTCCGGGTGGTTTACTGCTGCCTTTAAGACCTTTGACTGCCATCCATTTAGCATGGAAAGGGGCCTTTTGACTCCTTTACTTGGGAACTGCCACCTTAAACACCATTGGCAGCCGCTCATGGAGAAGGCTATTGAAACCCCTGGGTCTGTTGTGTGTTAGATCATTAGTAAGAACTAATCAAAGATTGCTACCTCAGAGTCATGATGTATATGAACATGTACTGTTTTAATTTAAAGTTAACACATTTGCTTGTCTAGAGTTTGTGTCAATTAATTACTCTCACTTCACAACATAAATTTTTCATGCTTGGTTTTATAGGAGTGTATTTCTCAGTCACCCATAGAAACCAAGTTTAAACCTCTTGTGGACAGTGGATTGGAAATTGCAAACATGTTAAAGGATCGTATGAAACAAGTAGAGGGTTCTGCATTTCAGAAAAGGTGAGAAAGAGACAGATAATTTTTCCTTTTGCTTGATGGTGATTTTAGTTACCTAATTGTTGGTTTTGCTAAGTTCATATGGTCTTTTCTGCTCAGATCTCCACTGGAGAAAGCTAAGAAGGAGGTAGAGAATAGTCTGAAGTATGTGAAGGAACAGCTTGAATTATGTAAATGTGAGGTGAAATGCCTGATCAATGAAATCACTTCTAAAGTTGCGGATCAGGTAATAAAATAACTACTCAAATGCTCTTTAGGAGGCTTAAGTTTAAAACTTGTGGTTTATTCAGTCTTGAATCGTAGTAATTTTTAGTTTTTCACAATGTAAGGTTCCAGAACAGATTGGAAAGTACATAATCAAATGGATGACTTTATTTGAGATGCTTCTTAAATACTTGTTAGGTGCCTTTGATATGCATATCAAATTTACTTTGAAGTGAGTGGTAAAATTTTATCAAGAGTTTTCCTTAAATTTACTGCTCTAGTGCCTGAGTACACACAGATATGTACCTAATTTGTAATAAGTATGATGATGCATAGTGGTAAGGATGAACACAAATTGGGACATAATCTTACAGAACTAAACTGCCAGAGCTTTTCCCAATTTCCACACCCAGAGTATTGCTACTCCCCCGAGATGGGAAGTCAGTCAATCCCATGCTACCCGTCCCCCACCCTGACAGCATTTCTTCATGTTTTCCCGATCCCTTGTTTGTATCCATTTTTACTTTTAGGGCCTTTCTGCACAAGCGGGCAAAACTAGAATTGTCCCTAAAAAATCAAAAGACAAATTTTGTCAAATTTCAAAGCCATGAGATTCTGTCAGCACCTGATCTGTTCATAAGACCGGCCAGAATAGTTGCCAAAGGATTCCACCTTCAATTTCCAGGATTTATTCTAAGTCGTTTTGAAAATTTTAGAAACCCCAAGTATTGCAACAAAAGACAAATTTTGCCTTTCTAGTCAACTGATTTCAACAAACAAAATCTAAACAAAATGTTTTCCTTTCTTTAGATAGCTGAGGCTACAACAGAAGAGATTAGTCGACTGGGCTCGCTGGTGAATAAGTTTATTCATCCATTCCCAAATTATCTTTCGTACCTTGGGACTTATAAAGAGGTGAAAATTACTTGTGTAGACAGTTTTGCTGCCGAGCAACAGCTGCAATGGAAGGAGAATTTGAAATTTAACACCTATCTCTGATTATGTCAATAGCATCTGTGCAATCACCTTGAGAGTGACTTAGGAAGGAATATGATGGCTTCTTCTTCAAATTTTCTTATGATTTGTCAGGCACATAAACAAATGGCAGGTCAGTATTTAGGACCTACTCCATACTACCTGAATGATATGTGAATATGCATGTGTACGTAAGCCTAAAAATTCTCGAATGCGTTTACAGTGAATTGTTGGAATTATTTGGAGAAGTAACTTTGAAAAACAGTTTACGTCAGCTTACAGAACCGGTCTGACTTAAAACCTTCCACACCTTCCGCTACTTTGATCTTTCTGATCGTAAGTCACGATTGCATTGTTTTGCACGAGGATTTTGATAGTTACTTGTCAAACCTGTCTATCAATGTCATCACGCATCATCAACCAGAAGTGCCATTCGTGGTCAAACAGATTTTTCAAAAGTTAGGATTCTCATACTAGCCTCCATCCTCTCCCCACCCCACCCCCGTCCTGCGACCCTCTTACTCTCGTCCCGCCACATTTCGTGCGGTCAGGATGATAAAAAGTTCTCCTTTCGTACTGAAATGCTTGATACGGACGATATGCACTAGGGTCGCAAAATAACTGAGGTAGAGTAATAACTAATGGTAAATCATGAAGTCACTCATGAGTAAGTCGTCACCGACAGAGTATAAAGTGGGACTGTAGATAATTGACACCAACACCAATTTAGTACCAACGAGGGGGGGGGAAGGAAATCATAAGAATATTACAGGGCCTTATTGGGGGGAACTAGTAAATTTTTATCGTGACAAGACCGACAGCCTCCGACCCCCACCCACATCCCCTCAGATGATAACTAATGACTGGTGCCTTAAGTACATATGAATATATTTTTCTTTTTTCCCAGACCGCTTTCGTAGGATTCTTTCGCCTAAAACACCAGAGTTATCTCTTGAGCTCGTCACTCCAGCGTGAGTATTGTGTTCCTTCGCTTATCAAACTCTAACATCAGTATGTATATTCTCTGTACTATAGTACATGGTTTGAACCAGGGGTTAACATGCAATAGTGTAGTTGGATCGTCCTGGTGAGTGTAGTCCTGAGAAGGACTATTGTCGGTAGTAGTGACTGACGTTTCGACAACCTGAGCGGAAGTCATCTTCAGAGTCAAGTCAAGAGTCACTTGACGTTCATCTTCTTTTTCCTCGTGACTTGATTGTGTGACTTCGGGGTGATATTGTAAGGAGAAATTAGATGCAGGTTAAGGGTTAATATCTACTGACTCGGTATAATAAGACATCAGGACTACTGGCTTAGGATAACTGCAGACTGCCGAGTGGGTACAAAATGCAGACTGAGAATTTAAGTGCCGTTCTCGCTAAGAGCGGTCCTCTCGACTTCCCGTCGGAAAAAAGTTTTCTTTTATTTTTTACCCATGGAAAGGGTTTAGAACACATGTTTCAAAAATAGTTTAGTTGGTCTCCAATTCTCTTTTTTTGCGTCGCCACAAGTCAAAAATGATTTTTGGCCAGACCACCCCTGTGGATAGCGATCGAAAGTGTAAATTTCAAAGATTTTGTCCAGCGCGCAGCGACTACAACAATGTAGCTCACGGAATTCTATCTATCTAAAAGTTACAAGATCTATTCAGTTAGTTCACAGACAAAATATGAAAACTTCAGCTGAAACATTTTTCATACAAGCGTGATCAGAGGAGACCCTTCTCTTCGACCTTAATTTGCATATAAAAAATTCACTACTATGTACGAAAGAATTCTCAAAATGCAGGCGTTAATCGGACTGAAAAAGCTTATCAGTGCATAGTTTATACACCAATGAGGTCACGGATTGCCTCAAACCCGCGGGTATATCTGTAGCTTCCTTCCACCAACATCTTAAAAACAACGCAAATCCATGTGTTTGCTTAATCGCGCTCGTGTCAAAGATCATTTGCATGATTCTGAAAATTGACCGAGATCTCCTTTTGACCAATCAAACTTCGTTCGTTTATCTTCTACGTTGAGGATTTTAGGTTTTCATAGCAACTGAATGGAGGATAGATGCCGAGTTGTCCTGAAACGTTGCGTAAACGTGATCGGTCGTAACGCTTGCGCGCTTGCGTGACTTACAAAGTAAAACTGAGTGAAAACATCATCCTTCATGTTCTAGTAAAAATGGATGATACTTTCCGTTCCAGTGCGTACTTAAGTATGTTTTCAATTCAAAACATGCGTATCGTTAATACGAACTGGCATTCCGTCGGATGTTTCTTTTGACCAAGGAAAAATGGGCAAGAATTTAGTTTAATGTCTGGAGAAAGGTCGTTTCTCAACCTTTTCCGCGATAGCCGAACACCGCTGGATTCAGTAAGAGAAAAATTTGTGACACGTATTTATTTTGTCATTGCTCAATGCCCGAGTGTTGGGACGACATGGTAAAGTGCGAGTTACAGTGCGATTTTTTGCGACCAATCAAACTTCGTTCGTTTATCTTCTACGTTGAGGATTTTAGGTTTTCATAGCAACTGAATGTAGAATAGATACCGAGTTGTCCTCAAACGTTGCGTAAATGTGATCGGCCGTGACTTACAAATTAGACAAAGGCGATCGGAAGGCGTCTTCTCGATAAATTACGTTGAAATATCAGGTCATGAACTACGCACAGTGAGGAGGAGATCAAAATTAAAGAATAAAATTTGGCACCCTGATCATAATAGACATGTCGCGTTGCTTAAAGGGACACAAAAACAAGTTAAAATGGGTTACAGTGTTTCCATTTTCAAAACACTCTGAAGCAATTCTTGCAGTTTCTCCCGAGATTTAGTACACGGAACCCGATGAACTATCCCTCCTTTCTGCAAATTTGTTTCCGTTATTAATGATGTTACGCTCTTTTGAACCACAATGGTTTTGAGCGACAAACTCGACATTTCCCTGCGACCATCAAAATCAATTGGACAAAACCAGCCTGATGTATTGCGTGACGTGTTGTGCAAACTTTTCTCTTTGTCATACGACCTGTTTCGCGGGTTCTACAAGTTGGAAGCAAAATTAGTTAATATAACGAATTAGAATCGACAGTTTACATTTTAATGAGAATTTGATCTTTTTAAAATGTTTCCTTGATTCATGGAAAGCAAAGATTGGAGTGGCTTTGGGTATTTCAGCCCTGATTTGGAAAAAATAAAACAGTAATTGGTATGTTCTAAACATCAGAACACCTGAGAGAACACTGGAAATGTAGTAAATTATTTTTTAGCATCCAGAGCAAAATGAAGAATGTGGGGCAGTGAAAGGAGACTGAGTTTTCTAAGCCATTTGCCGTAAAAGCTGTTACCAGCTTGTTATTGAACTCACTAAAATTTGCCTGGAATTAATTTTCTTTTGTCGCGAAACTCGTGGATTTTTTAAATTTTAAGCGGATGCAAAAATTGAGACAAAAATTCGTCATAACACAATTTGTCATTTGATTTTGTCAAGAGAATTCTGTATTTGTCTGCTAGTGCAGATAGCCCAGATAGGCACTTACGAATCAATTTTTAGTCAAATAATAGCCTTCACTCTCGAGAAATTACAAATATATTACCCATGTGATCCGACTACAACTTTAATTCCGAAAACTTCGAAAAAATCTCCGGTCAGTCTGGCTTTCTTTTACTGCCTCACATTTTCCCTTTTGCTGTGACTGTTAACGAGTACTTTCACCGCATTTCCAATGTTTCTTGTGTGTGTTCGGATGTTTAGAACATACCGATAAATGTTATATTTTTTCCATATCGTGGTCAAAATGACCGGAACGAAACAAAATTAACTTGTACTCGAGGATTTCGCTGGATAGCTCGATACGTCGTCCCGATGTCACAGCGGATTTGGACCCCCCGCGGATTTAGACCCCCGGTCCAAATCCGCCAGCGGATATGGACCCCCCTTCGCAGATTTGGACCCCCCAACCAGACTTTCCTTTTAAGCATCCTTTGTATCATATTTGGTAACTAAGTCTATTTTCAAGCTTTTTGTCGATGTTCTTTTCAATCACAACACAACATCAATAAAGGTAAAAAAAAAACCCAGCCATTTCGTTCCAATTCTACCGCATTTATTATATTATAGCGAGTCGTACAGTATATGCAGGACTGTATATGCAAACTACTGCATTTGAACTTTTGAAATTGTTACAATAAATCTTTGCTTCTTCTGATGCGAATCAACATTGATACGAAACGTCATAAAAATAGTGGAGACCATTGCGTCCTGTCACAAAAATAACTCAGTCTGATTTTCTAAAATAAGTATAGGAAATCGTATGAACGCGAGTGCATTTCGTGATTTATGGGCACGAGTGATGTTTTGAAAGTTCTCAAAATTGCACGAGCCGTAGGCGAGTGCAATTTGAGAACTTTCAAAACATCACGAGTGGCCATAAATCACGAAATGCACGAGCAGGTTCATACGATTTTTTATTTATTATATTCTCGACAAAATTACTCCATCGGTGTTTCCATGGCAACTTCTTCGTATTGCACTCTATAACCTCTATTGCACTCTATAACCTATTTATGCATTCATCATTGACCAATCAGAAACGCGATATTTTGTTGAGTATATAATAATAGCATTAAACAGTTTCTGAACAAGAACGAAGAAACTACTACAAGTCGTTCGTAAAGCCTATGATAAGTGAAAATGTTTCTATTCTGAACTAAAAGAACTCTCAGCTTATTTTCAGATGCAGATCAACATTAATGTCTACGTCTTAACAAAAGCGGAGAATATTACATCGAACTCAATCTTATTTTCTAATTTTAACGATTATTAACTGTTGAGGGATCCGAAATAACACCTTAACAATTACGAAGACGTCTAGAGTCTGGCGATCTGCAGACAATACAGAGCCACTCGTCCTCCGGGGCAGTCTTAAATCCCTCGCAGCTCATGTGCAACCATTCCTCGCACAACTCGCACTGCACCATGTCGTCCCAACACTCGGGCATTGAGCAATGACAAAATAAATACGTGTCACAAATTTTTCTCTTACTGAATCCAGCGGTGTTCGGCTATCGCGGAAAAGGTTGAGAAACGACCTTTCTCCAGACATTAAACTAAATTCTTGCCCATTTTCCCTTGGTCAAAAGTAACATCCGACGGAATGCCAGTTCGTATTAACGATACGCATGTTTTGAATTGAAAACATACTTAAGTACGCACTGGAACGGAAAGTATCATCCATTTTTACTAGAACATGAAGGATGATGTTTTCACTCAGTTTTACTTTGTAAGTCACGCAAGCGCGCAAGCGTTACGACCGATCACGTTTACGCAACGTTTCAGGACAACTCGGCATCTATCCTCCATTCAGTTGCTATGAAAACCTAAAATCCTCAACGTAGAAGATAAACGAACGAAGTTTGATTGGTCAAAAGGAGATCTCGGTCAATTTTCAGAATCATGCAAATGATCTTTGACACGAGCGCGATTAAGCAAACACATGGATTTGCGTTGTTTTTAAGATGTTGGTGGAAGGAAGCTACAGATATACCCGCGGGTTTGAGGCAATCCGTGACCTCATTGGTGTATAAACTATGCACTGATAAGCTTTTTCAGTCCGATTAACGCCTGCATTTTGAGAATTCTTTCGTACATAGTAGTGAATTTTTTATATGCAAATTAAGGTCGAAGAGAAGGGTCTCCTCTGATCACGCTTGTATGAAAAATGTTTCAGCTGAAGTTTTCATATTTTGTCTGTGAACTAACTGAATAGATCTTGTAACTTTTAGATAGATAGAATTCCGTGAGCTACATTGTTGTAGTCGCTGCGCGCTGGACAAAATCTTTGAAATTTACACTTTCGATCGCTATCCACAGGGGTGGTCTGGCCAAAAATCATTTTTGACTTGTGGCGACGCAAAAAAAGAGAATTGGAGACCAACTAAACTATTTTTGAAACATGTGTTCTAAACCCTTTCCATGAGTAAAAAATAAAAGAAAACTTTTTTCCGACGGGAAGTCGAGAGAGCGGCACTTAAAGTGTTTTTTACTGGGATACCTGTGGTAGCCCAGTCATAAAATGCCTCCGTTTTTTTTGTTTTTTTTTTCCTCCGCCACAAAATGGAAAAATTGCGCAATAGTACCCAGAGGTCATTGGGCCCTCAACACCATGACAACTAACTGTGATCCAATGAGGTGTTCACATGCTGATCACGGTCGATTTACAACGATACATATTTCGAAATATGAACATTTTTCTCGTAAAATCAATAAAACTTACTCATACCCTGTGTATCCGTTGTATTTTTTTTGGCGATTTCTGCCGTTTTAAGTTTGCTCTACCATCACTGTTATTCACGTCATCTACTTTTATTACGTTGGTAAAATCTGTACAGACATCACACCAACCAACTCGTGCGCAAAGTAAGAAGACTATATTGAAGGCTTGAAATAATATTGCGATCGATTTTCATTAAGAAATGGGCCAGGAATATCTCACAATAGTGCAAATAATCGTGAAGGCGGATCGCAGAAAAGCGATTGCGTGACGCTCGGTAAGCTGTAAGATGACATGTTATTATATACCAGACGTAAAAACTCTTCAGACTCTTAGTCTGCATTTTGTACCCACTCTGCAGTCTGCAGTCTATATTTTGTATCCGGTCTGCAGTCTGCTGTCTGCTGTCTGCATTTTGTACTAACAGGTATCCGTGGCACCCATACCGTTTATTTTTGGTTACATTTATTCGCAAAACACACATAATCTACCACAAAATATCTGTGAGTGAGGTAATTCGACATTTTCGTTCTTTCCCACATTAATATTCTTCTCTCCTTTTGTGAGAATGTAGACATCACTCACAATGTTTCAAGTAATCCACCCACCCTACAAAAAAGTAACTCTTACCATAGTTGCAACGGGTGACGGAGAATTAGGGTTCGATTCCGGAGAGGGAAAATTTGAAATCTCCGATGCCTGCATCAGCGAGTTGTAGTTGCGAGAAGCACTTTCTAGGCGGAGGGGCCCTGCCTAAGTTGCTTGGAACAGCACGTCGCAGAGGGTGACAACCCCGTCTGTGGCAGGGCCGGCCGCCCACGATGTGCTTTCGAAGATTCGGGTTGTTTGGGAATGTAACCCAAAATGAGTGGTAAACTCCATCTAAAGCTAAATACCGGCGTGAGACTGATAGCGAGCAAGTACCGTGAGGGAAAGATGAAAAGAACTTTGAAAAGAGAGTTAAAAAGTACGTGAAACCGTCAGAGGGAAACGATTCAGCCGGCGGCCCGCGCGCGGCTCGGGGTTTGCGGATCCGAACGGACTGTGGTCCCGGGCACGCGTCTCGCCGCCGTCGCACTTCTCTTGGGCGCGCGTCAGCGTGGTCGGAACTGGGCGTCGGAGGTGCCGTGGAAGGTAGGTCTGGAGTCTCGGCTCCGGACTGTTAGAGCCCAGCTCCCGCGGCTCGGGTCCGATCGAGGACAGTCGCAGCGCGTGCCTCTTGTGGCTGGAATTTTGGATTTTTTCAGGCTGATAAAAGAAATGATAATCGAGTGACACTGCCATCTGCCAAAAAAATTGTTACGTACTTAAAGATTCCCACTTTCAAAGATTCCCCATTTTGAAGATTCCCGCTTTTAGAGATTCCCCGTTTTAAAGATTCCCGCTTTTAGAGATTTTCCGTTTTAAAGATTCCCCATTTTAAAGACTCCCGCTTTTATAGATTCTAGTGAGACCTTCGCTAAATCATTTTATTCTTTTGCTATTTTGAGTTCGCGGAACGACCCGTTTCGAAATATACGCTCATTACACAAGCCATCTTTTTGAGTGGGTCTACCGCAAACGGTGTGTGGGTCTATGTGCTTGAGCGTAGAAAAGATGACACCATTCGCTAAGATATTCGACAAATCCGCCATGTTCGACATGGTGGGAAAAAGGTTGCGCATCTATTACGTGTCTGCGGTATTCCCCATTGCACGTGACTGAGCTTTGTGGAGAAACCCGAGGGTAAACCTCAAGTCGGTCGCCCGACTAAAAAGTAGATGTAAACGAGATGTCACTATGGAATATTTAACCCGCGCAATATTCAAGAAACAATAGGCAGCCTCTCACGTGGTCCGTACGTTTCATATATGTTCATTTTGTTGACAAAAATGTGGACCGAGACCAAAACTTCCTTCGATTTGATATATTTCCAACGTTCAGGGGTGTACACACACTGATTTTTACATATGTGCCTTTTAGTGTTATTGGCTTACATGAGAGAGTGGCGAATTTTTATAGGGAAAGGCGAAGCGTTACTTTCGTGACTGGCCATTTGTTTACTTTTCTATGGTTTTATCTCACATCTGTTTGATGACTATACAAATATTAATATGTGAAAATCAGACTTTATACAGGCTTGAAATTCTATTAAGAGCGATTGTGGCCGCTTTTTCAAAATCCAAATGCAATGGCCGCTTTGTTCAAGGCAAAAGATATCAAGAAACTGGCAAGGAATATTTCCCATTAGTGTAAATGATTCAACTGTATCTATATTCAACAAGACCAAGAAATCAATAAAAACTTAAGCCATAACATCGAACGAGCTGGCTCCAAGAGCCCTTTGATCTTGTTACTAATTTCTTTATCATGTTTGTTTATTGTAGTCTTGATTTCCAAGCGAATTTCAAACTGACTGTGACCCGTCTTTGTAATGATTTTTCTGGAGAAGTGGAGTTTCACTGCTCTCTTGGCTGGCAAGCGATTTTGAGGAAGTTCTTGAAGCGTCGACATGCTGAAAAAGCCATCGCTGTGGAAGGGAGAGTAAGAGAGTTAGTTTTGAAATAACAAACGATGAAAAAAATTAGCCTAGTCAGGGAAGAGTTAAGGTCGAAGTTGCACATGAAGAGCATTAAAATTTTTGTAATAACTTTCGAAAGGAAACTGTTTAATGTAATTCGATTTCAAACGAGGGAAATGGCTAAAAGCCATTTCTGAGTTGTTGTTTTGATCTACGATTAATTCTTCTGCTCCATCACTCCAGCCTTCCATATTTGATGACCGTTTGAGTGCTCGACCGCCGAAAAACACAGCATAGATGAACTGTACTCCAGAATGATTAAAACGCTTACTCCATTTCATTTAAGTTAGGAAAAGGAAAGAAAAAGGCGTTGGTTCTGTAGCTGATCACTTTAAAATAAGCGATAGCGTTCTCAAAGAAACTAGGAAAACATATGCTTTTGAAGAAGGTTAGGAAAAGAGAGAAGAAGAAAGAGAAGGAAAACTTGCTTTCACTTAGAATCGATCCTCAAACTTTCGTTTGTGAGGTGAAGTGCAATCCATTGCGCCACAGGTTGGATTGATATGCCACCCCTCGATAATTTATTTTCGAACTGTAGTGGCTCATGGTAACTTCGGTTTTGTTTAAGATTCAGCGAAATGTGCAGAGCTTGGTACGTACCGCACCAGCTGTCGTGCGATGGCTAGCTTCACTAACGACACTCACTGCTATACTGTTAATCATAGTTGGAGGACTGGTAAGGGTTAAAATTTTTTATTGATTTAGTGAACCTGAGGCATAAAATATAGCGGTCAAACGTCGGGCATGCACGAGGGGATCAATTCTTTCCGGCCGTGCTTCAATTTCCCGCGTAAAATTTCAAATGAAAACATAGGAAACAACCACTGTCTTGCAAAGTGAGCGAAAGAGAATCGATACGATTATAGGAATCTGCCAAAGGAAACAGAAGCAGGGAAAAGGAAAGCGAGAGACTTTTCCTACACTAAGCTTTTTAAAGTATTGGTATCCTGTTGATTTACCGAACTGTTTTGAGCTTTACTGTAACACCATAACTACTGGCTTGTGTGGTTGGTGGTAACTCGTGTCAGACAACTTCTATTTGACATTTCAAAGCGCACCACCCAGTCATTACAACTTTTGCACATGCGTATACGTTTGACCGCTGTACAGACATAGTTGTATCTCTCAAAAATGTGATTTAAGTTTCCACGCAACATTAGATGTATGTATGCCTATACGAAGCGTCCATTTCAATTCGTGTTTCTCCAATTGCAGATTTGGAAGACTGTAGGATGGTGGTTAACGGCTTTGTGTGGTGTGTTATACGGTGTAGTGTATGTAATTGAGAGGGTATATTGGGACGCTGGTGCCGGAGATAAAGCTCTCAAACGACAGTTTGTGAACTACGCTTCTAAAGAGCTTCTGTCACAAGGCAGCGTCGTTGCCGCGAAATGCATTGAACAAGTGCAACAGTAAGTTTGGCTTTCATGGGATTTTTGAAGCGTCTTTGATGTGATTGTTGGTTAAGCTCTCTAGCACACAGCAGAGGGTAAATTCACTTGACTTGAAACTGAATGTTGAAACGGTGCCCTATGGTGAAAGGCTGGAAGTGTTGATTGGATGTAACCAGGGTAGTAACTTAACGATTCCAGAATCGTCTATGGCTGTTTGATTTTGCACCCATTCGGTACACTAGTCTAAGCATGCAAAGCCTTAAGTGCCGCTCTCGTTAAGAGCGGTTCTCTCAACTTCTTGTAGGAAAAAAGTTTTCCCCCTTTTTTTTGCCCATGAAAAGGGTTTAGGACAAGATAGAATTCTGTGAGCTATATAAATTATTGCAGTCGCTGCGCGCTGGACAAAATCTGTGAAATTTGCACTTTTGATCGCTGTCCACACGGGTGGTCTGGCCAAAAATCGTTTTTGGCTTGTGGCGACGCAAAAGAAGAGAATTGGAGAACAACTAAACTATTTTTGAAACATGTATCCGAAACCCTTTTCGTGGGCAAAAAATAAAAGAAAACTTGCCTTGGTCGGCAAGTCGAGAGGATCGCTTTTAGCGAGAGCGGCACTTAAGTGTCTTCATTTCTGCCTTACTATTATTTCTGTGCCAAGAAGACGATGTTATTTGATATTAAAAGTGTTAATTCAATGCTCTGTTCAGCCTGACAACTGATTGATTCTGCAGATGAACTTTTACACCTCAATTGCCTTTGGTTTAACTGAACATCACGAGTTGAATAATTCCTCATACTTGTTTGCTATTTTGATCTTATTATGAGGATTATTGCGTATTAA